AAAATGGTCAGAATCCTTGAGGGTGAGACCTATGCCTCAGTACTTTTGAAGTTCTCTGGATGACTTCAGTGTGTAGCCAGTGTTGAGAGCCACAGCAGGAAAGGGAGGTGGCTGAGCCAGGGAGAAACAGTCAGCTGTTCAGGAAAACATTCTTCATTCAGAATGAAGAACAGATAATTTATTTAGATTATAGGTATGTTCTTTATGCATCAGCTGACCTCTTTTTAATACTGGGTTTCTATAAATGTGGTTTGAAAATAATTTGTACTTTAAGGTAAATCTTCCTTTATTTTCTTTTACTTTTGTGATTGAAGAAATAGGAATTTCATGTCTCCTTTCCATCCCTCCCACTGCATGCTTCTTTCCCCCAACACATCATTATTAACAGACCCTGATGGGAGAATGCAATGTTAACTAACCGAATTAAATACAGAAAAGGCTGGAAACCATCAAGAAAGGCTTGCTGGCAATGAGCATTCCCAGCTAGCAGAGTCCTTTCTGTTCACTAGCTGGCTTTCTGTGGCCATCAAGCTGGGCACTTACGACATCTGATCAACTTGGAGCTTCTAGAAAGGTGTGGACATCAACATAGGAAAGTGTCTACTGAATTTTTATTTTCACTTCCCCAAACCAACCTACCACGAAGCAGAGAGGACCTGTTTTCTCATATCATCACGTCTGATTGATATGCTAAACTTCATCCAAATTCAAACAGGCACACCCTGGTGAGATTTACACTTTCTTCTTTAGTAATTTACTGCTTCCTTCTCCTGTAAATCTAGTAAACCAAATAACAATGGAGTGAGAGGAGAGAAGGAATTGTTCTCATCTTTAAAATAAGAAACACCATGTTTTGGCATAAAGCAGGGTGAACTTGCTACTGTAAACATCAGCAATCCTGTCACAGACAGCTGTGCGCTGGTGGCCCCCCACCCCGGGAAATGTGTACACAGTTGAGACGTACACACTGGACTCAGGCAGCAACAATGGAGAATAGGACCTGGAGGTCTTTTCCCAGGTTTTATCTGTAGCAGGCATCAATGTCTAATATAGTAAGTCAGCTACCAAGTTCTCTCAGAAAGAGTCTGGCTTCCTCTGTTTGTATGGAATTTCCTCCATTGTGTGGCTGAAGAGAGATCCAAGTCCACAAAGAGCAACAGTATGGGACTGGATTAATGTCACCTGTCGTTCCTTGTCTGCTCTGCTTCTGGGGAATAACACACTTCAAGCAATACAAAACAATTCCAAACAACTTGAGAGCAATAGCTGTTAATTCCCAAAGATTTTTTCATTAAAAGGTGGACTTATGTATTATTTAAAAATGATAAGAAAAAGTTGTGAACTTTACTGATGCCTTCAAAGCTAACTTGAATACCTCACCATGAAAAAGTTGTTTCAGAAACGATTTCGAACACGATTTTAAGATGTATAAATGTCATTATTGTTTCTGGAGGTTGAAAACAGACATTTGGAATTTTTGCACTGAAAAATATTAGAAAACAGCTTGGGTTTTATAAACTTACCTGAAAATAATACGGCAGTGGTATAAAAACATAATAGAAATTGGAAGCTATAGATTATTGAAGCATAAAGTCACTGGTGTTAGAGCCAGAGATTCTAAAGATAATCTAGCCCAGTGGTTCTCCAAACTGAGGGTGCATCAGGATCCCATGGAGGGCTTGTTAAAGCGCCCCTTGCTGGGCCTCACCTCCAGAGTTTCTCATACAGTAGGTTTTGGATGGGGGCTGAGAATTTGCATTTTTCATGAATTCTCAAGTGATGCCGATGCTGCTGATCTGAGGACTACATTGTGAGACTCTCTGGTTTGGTGCTGTCTCATTATACAGTTGAGGCCGCTGAGTCCTGAAGAAGTCAAATGTCTGAGCCTCTTCTTAGGCCTGTTCCCGTCTAGGGTAAACCTTCCACTTGAGTACGAGGTACTACCCACTCTCAAGGACACCACTGTTTTAATAGTTATCCCTTCTCCTGGCATCAACATCTCCTGGTATAAATTCTTTAGTTAATTATGTTAGCCTATAAACATGCTGTGATAGTGTCCATCTTAAGGAGACAGAATGGACTCACATTGCACTCTGCCATGCCCTACAGAAAAATCTCCCCAGAAGGCTGTCTAGTCATTGTTCCACTCCTCTCCTTCCAGTCTCTTGAACTCACTCGAATCGGGCTCTCATTCCAATTATTTTCTTGAAACTGTTCTTGCTGAGGTCACTAGTAACCTTCATATTGCCAAACACAGTGGTCAATTCTGAGGTCTGCCTTGCTTCTCCACCAGCCGCATAGTTGATTACTTTCTCCTTGAAACTCCCGCCTTCATGGGCTTTGGGATACTGCTCTCTTGATTTTCCTAGCTCACCAGCCACTCCTTTTCAGTCATCTTTGTTGATTCTTTCTCTTTACTTTATCTCTAAACATTGGAGTTCCCCAGGGCTCTATCCTTAGATCTCTTCTTTATCTGTACTCCAGGTGATACCATTCAGGAATACTGTCTCTGTAGTGATCATTTGCAAATTTATGTCTCCAGCTGAATTTCTTCTCCTAAACTCCCAATTTGCACACAGGCAGTTCTTGCTTCATGCAGTAGTGTGGGGCCATAAAAATAACTGTGCAAACTGAGACAGCTCAAAGTGTTCTTAATAATTCGCAATAAAAATTTTGATTGTTGCAGGACTAAAATTTTGTCAAAATATTAGGCTCTTACTGTTGGTTGTAAACATATGAGGTAATGAAAAAATAAAAAGTAGTATTTTAAAACTAATATTTACTTAGTTTAGTACACTGATTTAAAACATTAGAAACACTGAGAAAGTGTTTCATTTATTTGTAAAACACTTATCAGGACTACTTTGAACAGTGCTTGCCTTTTTGTCATATAACTTTCAATATGGAGTAAGCATCAATTCTACACCTTGGCAAATTATCATATTTCTTTCTAAGTTTGGATCAGCTTCCAACATTTTAGCCTTTGTACTTTAGATGTTGTGACATATCTCTAAGAGTTATTTTAATGTGAAAGATTTTGCCTGAATCACTTGCTCTGACATATTCCTCTGGAGCATCTTCGTCTTTTTCCTACAACAACTTTCCTCCTTTATGTCTATAAACTCACCTTCACGAAGTGCTTGTGACTGCATTCTAGTGTCTTAAACAGTGGCAGTGTCAACATTCCTGGGGCAGCTATTTCTTCTATAACTCCATTTATATTTGATTTGAATTTTACTTTTAGTGTTGTCATGTTTTTCCTTGCTGCCCTTTCATCTTTGTGGACCAGTTTCTTCTTTTGATAATCCATTTTTGTGGAATGTCATGTGGGCTTATTACTGAGAGACAGGAGACAACACAGTGACACATTTTGCTGTATGTGAACTGAATAATAGACGTACCAGTGACCAGCTGGTGATCAATCAGTCAGGCAGACTCTGAAAGAAGTGACATGATTGGTCACTAATGATAGTATACATCTGTTATGTACAGAGTGATTTGTGGATGGGAGAAACAGTGAAACTGTACTTTATGCAATTATTCAGTTACTATAATGTGGCAAATGCAATTTGAATCATATTTTTGGAGGACTGGTGTTATTTAACTAAACCTGGGTAACTGAAGTTTGTGCATGTTGGAATCTTGCAAAGAGAGGACTGTCTACAGCCAACTGCCCATTTGACATCATCACTTGGGTGTTTAATAAATAGCTCACATTTAACATGCCCTAAGCTGAACTTTTAAGTTTTTCAACTTCAAACCTGCAGTTCTCTTTGTGTTAAATGACAACTCCATTCTTCTAGTTGTTTGGGTCAAAAATCTTAGAGTCATTTTTGATTTCCCATTTTCTATTACAGAACATATCCAATCCATCAACTAATCTTGCCCACTCTATGTTCAAAATATAATTAGAATCTTACCATTTCTTGCTGCTATCATTCTCATCTGGGCCATCATTATCTTCCACTTACCTTCCTAAGTGGCCTGCTCACTTCTACACTAGGACACCTATATCTATTCTCCATGGCAATAAGAATGATCCTTTAAAAATGTGAGTTGAGTACATGACTCCTCATCTCAAAATCCTTCTATAGCTTCCTGTTTTAATTACAGTAAAGCTCTAAGTTTTACAATGGTCTCCAAGGCCCTATATCATCTCACCCTAGGCTACCTCTCTGACATCCCCTCCTTTCACATCCCCCTGCCCACTCTGCTCTCACTGCACTGGCCTCCTCACTCTTCCCTGAATGGGGCAAGCATTACTTTCCCTCAAGGTCTTGCCAGTTGTTTTTAGCACATGTGGTGTGTTTCTTCCCCATCTGTCTATGTGGCTCATTCCCTCCCTTCCTCTATGTCTCTGTACAAATTTATTTTATAATCATGCTATAGAAAATTGTGATACCCATCTTTCCACTTCTCATCTGGGAACCCTTTATTCCCTTATACTGTTTTGTTTTTTTCCACAGCTTCTGTCACCATTCAACATGTTACATATTTACTTGTATACTTCCCCTGCAAGATTGTAAGTGTCATGAGGGCAGAGACTTACTCTGTTTTGTTCAGAGCTTAATCTCCAGAGCTTAAAATAGTACCTGGATCACAGAGGGTCCTTAACAAATATTTGTTAAATGAATGGAAGATGGATATTGCTGGTTTGTGGCAATTATGAAGAACCATATTTCCAAATATGGCTTCTGCCAAAGCAGACCTGGTAACTGGAATGATAAGCAGGGCAATGACTTTAGTGCTTTGCTTGGTTCTGATTGGGGATACAGGGCTGTCATAGAAGTGTAAAATTTATTGAAAACTTTCTTGTAGAAGTTAATTTTTACCTACAGAGCATACACATCTTGTCTGAGAACTTGTTCTAGTGGTCATTTTGCCATCAACTTTAACTTACTAAATCTAAAAATGTTTTTTCTTTGTATAGATAAATTAAAGCAATTTTTTTAAAAAAATGGTATGTCTATTTTTTGTTTGTTTTCATTTATTTGTTTTAGAATGTTGGGGAAAATGGAAGGAGAAAAAAAAAACAATGCTAAAAAGCCTGGAGATGACCACATATGAAAGGACCATGTGTGCAAAGGACTGCTGGAAAATGAATCGGGTAGGAACCAGGAAATATGGTGTTGAGTTGGATTGACCTTCCTTTGGAGAATCTACCAGACACCTCTTATATTTTCTGGGAGGAGTCCCCTTTTTACTCCAGCCATTGCTGGGGTTGCCAGTTACATGTAGGTATAACTTGACAATGCCTCACTTTACATTCACTGTTTCTCACTTTCTTCCCCAGAGTTTCTCCCTTCACTAAGTAGGATACCTGTAGAAATGAATTCTGGAGCATATGCAAACCTGCAGATGTGAGGGCAATCCTTTGTCAATGGGGTCTGGGAACTGGAAGATAAATGTTTCTCTCTTTCAGCTCCTGGGTGAATAATTCTGAGATGTATCCTTTCTTGTCCTCTTAGAGGATCCCAGAGGAATCAAGCCTCAGTTGCCCACAGTGGTGAGGAGCTAGATTGGGTTGTGCTTCCCTCCTCCTTTTTTTATTCTTCCCAGTCTCCCCCCGCAGCTCTTTGGGATCATACCTCAAAATAAAGCACCTGTACACCGGACTTTGTCATAGGTTCTGCTTTTGTGGGGAGCCTAGGCTAAGACAGGAGTCAAACAGAAGACATTTTTTGGAAAACTTTTGTGTTAATTGCAACTTTCTATAAATACACTTACCCTGAGATGCTCTCTCCTTGCTGAAAGACCTCCATTAGTTCTTTATGGGCTGAGTAATAAAGACCTAGATCCTTAAAGCAAGACACTTTACACTGTCACCCTGTCTACCTCTTGAACAACTATAAACCAGTGCTTTAATTTCTCCCAAATATACGATTCACATTTTTGCCTTGTGTGTGTGTTTCTCCCAAGGATTAACTCATATATCCTCCTGGAAGCCTTCCTCAACAATTTAGCATGTAACATTCCTGCCTCCTATGCACCCTTGCTACCCTTTTTGTTTGGATTGCTTATTTGGTATGTATGCCATGTTGTCACAAATTATTATTTATCTCTTTATTTATATGTTCTGACTAAACTTCATTATAATCATCTGTGGGAATAGATTGTATCTTATAATTCAGTATCTCCAGCGGTACCTCACACAATGCCCTGAACAATAAATGCTACCCGTGCTGAGACTGACATTGTGGTGACATGATCTAAACCAGTGTTTATCAAAATGTATTCATGGGGTATTAATAGGCATTATAAGAACAAAAGTGTTTTATGTTCAATTAACTTGGGAAACCCTGGAAGACTTCTTTGAATCTTTAAATTAACAAACCTTTGTTGCAAATCTCTAAGAGAAAAACACAATATGTAGTTTTTCCAAACTTGCTAAGCCATAGACATTTTTTTCGTGAAGCATTTCCTTAGGCTAGTCTCCTGAAAGGCATGTTTAAACTGTTTCTAAATATATTGATTGATACACTACATAGAAATTCCTGGGATCTATGCAGAATGAGGGTATAGCAGGTAGAAGTAGCTCACAGAGAGAAATAATATATGGCATGAGAGAGGCTTATAATATACATGAAGAGAGAAAATATTCACATCCTAAAAATCACTAATGAACATTGATCAGGAATATCTGTTCCAATACCTCAAATATATTTTTGGCATGTACTTAAATTGCATATTTTTCTTTTTAAAATTTTTAATGTAATAAATTATACTAATAGATTTCTTAAAATTGGGAAATGTTACTTTCTGGAATAAACTTTGCTTAGTTATAGAATATAACTATTTTAACACATTGCTAGATTTAATTTGTTAATATCTGGTTTCAGATTTTAATTATAAGCATTCTAGTTTTCTTATTGGAATATGTTTGTCAGGTTTTGGCATTAATATTATGATAGAACTGTAAATTGAGTTGGGAAGGCTTCTATTGTTGTTCCTTGACTTTAGAGACAACTCACCCACAAACATCCTGAATCTGGTACCATTTTTAATTGTAGAGCTTGTGTGTGTGTGTGTGTGTGTGTGTGTATTTCAAATTCTGCAGCTGTTGGGTTGTTTAGGTGTTCTACTTATTTAGTTAATTTGGGGAATTTATATTTTGATAGAACATCATTTGTTTCCTTTAGATTTTAAAGTGTGTTGTCATAAGAAAAGTGGTAGCGGGGAGGGGCTGAGATGACTGACTAGAAGCAGTTGCCACCAGAGGCTCCCACTGAGAGAATGAAAATGGCCAATGAATCCTGCACCGGCAACTGAGGTATCCAGATTCTCTCATTGGACTAGGCAGTGGGCGCGACCCTTGGAGAGTGAGGAAAAGCAGGGTGGAGCAATGCCCCTCCCGGGAGCGCAGGGGAAGGGGAGCTCCCACCCCCAGCCAAGGGAGGGGGTGAGTGATTGTGCTACCCCCCCCACAGGAAACCACATTTTTTCCACAGATCTGTGCAACCCACAGGTCAGGATATCCCCCCTGTGAGTCCATGCCACCAGGGCCTTGGGTCCCAAGCACAGAGCTGTGAAGATTCTTGGTGGCCACTTGACGGGAGGCTGCCTGAGACTACTGAGTTTCCAGTGGGAGGGTTGACCACTATCACTGCGGTTTCCTGCTGCCTAAGGTGACTGAGCTCCTGGGGAAAGGGGAAGGAGCCATCACTGCAGCTGCAGTCTGCCGTTTTTCCCCTGCCAGTGCTGGGGAGACTGGATGATTTGGACTCAGAAGGAATTCCCCATGGCACAGCACAGCAGCTATGGCAGATTGTGGCCAGACTGCTTCTCTAGGCTGGACCCTGACCTATCCCTTCTTGCTGGGCAGGGCCTCCCTGTGGGAACTTCAGCAACTCCAACCAGGGGTTTACAGACAGAACTCTGATCTGCCTGGGACAGAGCCCCAGGGAGGAGGGGCAGTCTCCACAGATGAGCAAACTTAGTCTTTCCCCCTGCTGGCTCTGAGGAATCCGGGCAGTCCTGATGAGTGGGATTCCCCACAGTGCAGTGCATCCCCTCTGCCAAGGGGCAGCCAGAGTGCTTTGTTAAGGGGTTTCCTGATCCTGTGCTTCCTGACTGGATGAGACCACTCTCCCACTCCCTGCCCACCCACAGGGGTTGCCAGGCACCTTATACAGGAGCATTTCTGCTGGCATCAGGTCAGTCCCCTTCTGGGACACAGCTCCCAAAGGAAGGAGCAGGCAGCCATCTTCGCTGTTCTGCAGCCTCCAGGGGTGATACCTCCAGGTATGGGAGGGACCCAGGCAAACAGGGTCTGGAGTGGACCCCTAGCAAACTGCAGAAACCTTATGGAAGAAGGGCCTGACTGTTAAAAGAAAAACAAACAAACAAGCAGAAAACAACAATAACAACTGCATCAACAAAAAAGTCCCTCCAAAAACCCCATCCAAAGGTCAGCAGCCTCAAAGATTGAAGCTAGATGAACTCACAAAGATGAGAAAGAATCAATGAAAAAATGCTGAAAACTCAAGAAACTAGAGTGCCTCTTCTCCTCCAAATGATCACAAGACCTCTCCAACAAGGGCATAGAACTGGGTTGAGGCTGAGATGAATTAATTGACAGAAGTAGACTTCAGAAGGTGAGTAATAACAAACTTTGCTGAGCTAAAGGCAGATGTTCTAACCCAATGCAAAGAAGCCAAGAACCATGATAAAACATTACAGGAGATGTTAACCAGAATAACTAGTTTAGAGAGGAACATAAATGACCTGATGGAGCTGAAAAGCACAACACAAAAGAACTTCACAATGCAACCACAGGTATCAATAGCCGAATACATCAAGTGGAGGAAAGCATTTCAGAGATTGAAGACTATCTTGCTGAAATAAGGCAGGCAGACAAGATTAGAGAGAAAAGAATGAAAAGGAATGAACAAAACCTCCGAGAACTATGGAATTATGTAAAAAGACCAAACCTATGAATGATTGAGGTACTTGAAAGAGATGGGGAGAAAGGAACCATGTTGGAAAACATACTTCAGGATATCATACAGGAGAAATTTCCCAACCTAGCAAGATAGGACAATTCAAATTCAGGAAATCCAGAGAACCCCAGTAAGAGACTCCATGAGAGGATAAATCCCAAGACACATCATTATCAGATTTTCCAAGGTTAAAATGAAGGAAGAAATGATAAAGGCAGTCAGAGAGAAAGGCTATGTCACCTACAAAGGGAAGCCCATTGGACTAACAGTTGACCTCTCAGTAGAAACCCTACAAGCCAGAAGAGATTGGGGGCCAATATTCAACATTCTTAAAAGAATTTCCAACCTAGAATTTCATATCCAGCCAAACTAAGTTTAATAAGTGAAGGAGAAATAAAATCCTTTTCAGACAAGCAAATGCTGAGGGAATTCTTCACCACTAGGCCTGCCTTGCAAGAGCTTCTGAAGGAAGCACTAAATATGGAAAGGAAAAGTCATTACCAGCCTACACTACAAAAATCATTACCAGTCTAACACTACAAAAACACATGGAAGAACAAAGACCAATGATACTATGAAGCAATTACATCAACAAGTGTGCAAAATAACCAGCTAGCGTCATGACAGATCAAATTTACACATAACAGTATTAACCTTACATGTAAATGGGCTAAATGCCCCAATTAAAAGACACAGTACAGCAAGCTGGATAGAGTCAAGGCCTATTGGTGTGCTGTATTCAAGAGACCCATCTCATATACAAAGACACACACAAGCTCAAAATAAGGGATGTGGGAAAATTTAGCAAGAAAATGGAAACACCAAGAAAATGGAAAGCAGAAAAAAGCAGGGGTTATAATCCTAGTTTCTGACAAGACGGACTTTAAACCAACAAAGATCGAAAGGGCATTACATAATAGTAAAGGACTCAATTCAACAAGAAGAGCTAACTATCCTAAATATATATGTACCCAATACAGGAGCATCCAGATTTATGAAACAAATTCTTAGAGAACTATAAAGAGGCTTAGACTCCCACACAGTAATAGTGGGAGATTTTAACACCCTATTGTCAATATTAGATCATCGAGACAGAAAATTAACAAGGATATTCAGGACTTGACCTCAGCTCTGGATCAAGTGTACTTCATAGGTATCTACAGAGCTTTCCACCCAAAAACAACAGAATGTACATTATTCTCAATGCCACATAGCACTTACCCTAAAATCAGTCACATAATTGGAAGTAAAACACTCCTCAGCAAATGCAAAAAACTGAAATCATAAGAGTCTCTCAGACCACGGTGCAATCAAATTAGAACTCAAGATTAAGAAACTCACTAAAAACCACACAACTACATGGAAATTAAACAACCTGCTTCTGAATGACTCCTGGGTAAGTAATGAAATTAGGCATTGTATTTTTAGTTGAGACGGGGTTTCTCCATGTTGGTCAGGCTGGTCTCAAACTCTTGACTTCAGGTGATCTGCCCGCCTCGGCCTCCCAAAGTGCTGGGATTACAGGCATGAGCCACTGCGCCTGGCTCTTTGATTTTTAAATTGTATTTTGTAGTTAAAGCATACATATTTTGTACATGGTGTGTTTATTTTTTTACATTTATACCTAAGTATTTCTTTGGAGCAATTTTAAATGGCATTGTGTTTTTAATTTTAGTTTTCATATGTCCATTGTTGTATAAAGAAATACAGTTGATTTGTGTGTTGATTAAGCTGTAACCTGACTGTACCGTTTTTTTTTTTTAGGGTTATAAAAACTTTTGATCCCAGTTTATTTTGTATATTAAAAAAAGTTTTGTAAATAGGGAGATTTATAGACTTCTTAAATAAATTTTACTTTTTTTCTTTCTCAATTACAACTTTATGAATGTCATTGAAATGCTTTAAACAAGCATTTGCTTTGTGTAAGGTAGATTCTCTCAAAGAGTAGAATAATAAAGCAGCTTTTGTTTTCCATTTTTTTCTGAGTTTTCTTTGATTTTGATAGGGATGTAGAGAAGCTGGTGCCACCCATGTAACAATGTCTGAACTTTGTCAGAGAACTTACCAGAATGAATCTTTTTGTAAAAACCCTGGTGGGAAATAAGTAGTCCTCTTTGATTACTGGGCAGCCCATTGCAATAATACCTAGTTGGCTGGCTGAACTTAATTAGCTTTAGGCAGTATTTTGTTTCATTTTGCTTTTTTGTAGATACTTTGGGATTTTCTACACTGTCCTCACATCTGCAAATAGAAACATTTCACCTGTATTTTATATAATTTTTAAACATGCTAAAAATTTGAAAGAATATTACAATGAATACTTGCATATTCACTTACAATACCCACAATTGTTAACACATGTTGAATGTGTGTGAATGTGTGCATACATATTGGTTGGACATCATGATGCTTTACTTACAAACTCTTCATCACATATATATTAATTATAAGTATATTCTACTATAGTTACATTCTACTATCACACCTCAGGAAACTAACAATTCCCTAATATCAGCTCATATCTAATCCACACTGAAATTTCCTCAGTTTTTCTCCATGACGTGTCTTACAGTTATTTCCTTCAAACCACGACTCCATGAAGTTTTGTGCATTATATTTGGTTATTATATCTCCTTAGTCTCTTATTTTTGAACAGTGTCACCTATTTTTTTCCCCTGTGAAAATGACTTTTTGAAGAAACTTGGCCAGTTGTCTTATAGGACATTCTATGTTCTGAATTAGCCTTCTTTTTTCCTTACTGTTATTTTTTGTTTGTTTGTTTTTGTTTTTTTCAGACTTGTTCCTTTATCATTTCTATTTCCCTTAAACTGAAAATTAGGTTTAAAGTCTTGGTAAGATTCAAGTTAAACATGTTTGGCAAGATATGTAATAAGTGATGCTTTGTGTTGTGTATCACTTCACATCAGTAAGAACATAACATTAGATTGTCCTGCTATCCGTGATGCTTATAGCTTGATTATGTGGTTAAGGTACTAGATCTTGCCACTGTATAAAGATACATCTTTGTCTTTGCAATTACCAAGTAGCCTGCAGGAATGATGCATAAATGCTGTGAAATGCTTTGATGGAAGCCAGTTGATTCTTTCCAGAGGAATATGTTCTTTGCAAAAGAATCACTTCCCTTTTAGGAATCTTTGAAGATGAATCTCCACCTTGGGGCAGAAGACACGAAGTTTGCAAAAAGATTTCTGACCTTTAAAGCATAGAAAATGTGATTCTGGTGTGCTGCAAGAGAATATTTAATGAATATTCTACATGAGACTAGCTCTATAATTTAATGTAACTATATCAACTAAGGAACATTCTAAGGAATACTTTGAGAGAACAGAGAGTGGGAAAAGTCTGCACCTGAAGATGTGGTCTCTAGGGCAGAAGTCTTTCGAGTTTTGCTCTGTGTTGGTAGCAGATAGTCACCTAACGAAGTAGTGGCAAAGACCTACTGAGACAGGTTTCACTTTGGAGGCTGTCTATTGAGTGAGCATGGTTTTATGTAAGGTTTCCTAAAAGAGGATTTGAAGAGTATAATGTTGGTTCGAAGGTGGAAAAAGTTATGCTATTGTCTATGTCAAGTGTCAGAGTGCCCCATGCTCTAGAATTAGTTTGGCACTTTTCCCAGCACTGTGACAGCTCTTAGGTTCAGCCTGGTGTGCTGCTCTGGAGTGAAGGAGGAGGATGCCCAGGGACTTCCTGATGCTGATCCATAGCTTTAGGGTGCTGCTGGAGAGTTGAACCAGAGGTGCCAGAGCAATCAATTTGTTGCCAAAACCATGCCCATAGCCAGTCTTATGAGTGAGCAGAGTGGATGAATTGGAATAGTACTGGGTAGTTCCTTGGTTCAAAATATCTCCCTCCTGGAAATGTAGTGTGACAGGAAATGTACCTCCCTGGCTTTGAAGGAGGACAGATCTGGTTTTACTACTTACTACTAATAATGTGATCTTGGGAAAGTTATTGTTATTTTAGTGTTTAATTTGGGCCAGTTATTGTTTTGTTTAATCTTCACAGCAACCATAGGAGACAGTTGCTATTAATAGTGTCTTATTTATTTGTTATAGAGATGGGATCTCACTATGTTGCCCAGGCTGGAGTACAGTGGCTATTTACAGGCCCAGTAATAGTGCACTACAGCCTCAAACTCATGGGTCAAGTGGTACTCCCACCTCAGCCTCTAGAATAGCAGGGATTATAGGGGTGCGCCACTGCACTTGGCTTAATATCTCCACCTTACAGATGAGGACACCGAAGCACTGAGAAGTATGTGTGTGTATATGTGTTCTATGGATCAGGTGTGGGACATGGCAGATAGAGCTGCTGAGGGACCACACCTAAGACGGTTTCCTGACACAAGTAAGGAAATCTTACGGGAAGGGAATAGAGTTGTCTAGTCAGAGGAGTAGGGGGTGA